GTCCGTCCGTCCGTCCGTCCGTATGTTTGAACGCGTCGATTTCAGAAGATACAAGAGCTAGAGACTTCAAATTTTTTTTAAAATGTCCGTATATCGAGTTTATTACTAAAAATCGATAACTCATCCCGTTATTTTGTTATCGATAAAAAACCTTACCGAAAATCAGTTTTTAAATTATATCTCCTACATCTTTAAAGTTAAAGTCTCCAAACTTTGCACTTTGTACAACTTCGGTTTTTGTTAAAATTTACCCCCCACCCCTATATCCACCTCCTCACCTTCATGTTTGCAAAAGACGTATTTCAAATACTACTGCTTCGAAACAATATGATTACGTTCTGAAAGTTTCATTAAGATCGCACATCTAGAAATTAAATTGTTCACAAATAAATTCTCAATATATTGCCAACACTGCAGCGCAACCCAAGCGCAATCGCTTACTTGTATGCGTGTATGTGTGCTCATGTTTGTTTGTATGAGTGCGTGTGTGTGTGCTAATTATTATTGAAGCATCAGTTGCTTGTAGGGTTCAGGGGATCTCGTAGTCAGCATTCTCGACTAGAGCTTTCTTATATATATTTATATACATATATTTAAGCCTTATTTTTATTAAATTTTAAACCAAGTTTTTAAGAACAGTAGTTTAAACTCGACATTTTTCCTCTCTTTATTCAAAACTATTTAAAACAGTTTTTAAGCTCATCTCAAATAATAATAAATTGGAAATACTCTATTAAGAGTCTTAATTCTCAATTCAATTTGAAATATTTTAAATTGTTAAAATATAGAAAATCTTTCAAATCAAAATAGCTCCTAGCTTAGATTTCACAATTTCTAAATAGAGCTATGAGCATTCAACCGTCACTGCAGAGTAGCTATAAAAAAAACCGTGCTGATGCTATTTTTGATATACTAACTTTCTGTCCGTCAACGATGCTTTAAATCAACACTTCAAGGTTTCCGCTTGCATATTGCACCGGACACTTGGCAGCCAAGCCAAACATTTGCGGCGGCGTCAGTGGCCCTACCCGAATTTCACGGTTTTCGTTGCGTTCGTAGCCGGATGTTTCTCTTATTTATTTTTCTTTTTTACTGAGATACATTTTGAGCATTTTATTTAATAAAATCCAGCAGATGGTAATTAATTTTGGCAGTGAACCTGTGCACGCGCCGCTGGCGCCATCAGATGGTAGGCGGTAGGCGGCAAACCGCGGGCGGCGCGTACTTCGCATGCTTCTTCAATTTCAAGTGCGCGCTCTGTGAGTGGGTGTATGTGTGTGAGCGTGTTTGTCGAGTGTTTGTCTATGGTTATGTGTGTGTGTGTGTGCGTGTGCGCGTAATTAATTGTAAGCCGAGCTGCGAACTGAATCAGGTCAATTAATTTTATGCGAATTGTGTGGCTCAACCTCAATCTACTATACGGCCTCTCCCTTGGCTATCCTCTTGGTTGCTCCTTTGCTTAAATTTACAGAAAATATGAGCTTTAAGTCTAACCCACTTTTCGACATGGCAGCACGGGCGTCCCAAATCAAAACAGTTGACTATCCTAAAGGCCTTGGTTTTTCTCTCCTTCTTTCTTCCTTCCCCTCTCTCTCCTTCTCTGCTGCTCTCTCAAGTATTCTGTTGCTTGTAGTTTGCCAAGCTGCCGGCCAATCGCACATTAAGTGCAAGTTGAAGTGGCTGACATCCGGCCAGGCTCGACCAGACTGAAAAAGCCTGGTCCAGTCTAGCTGCCACTGCTGCTCATTGCCGCAGACAAGTTCAATAAACGTACCGCAAATTGATTTGACCAAGCACACTTGGCCACCGCACTCGAGTGAAGCTCAAGTGGACTCTCCCCCAAACCAGTTGCAACGTGCATTACTATTAGAATTTGAGCTCTTATAATCTTAAATATAGCAACATTCCTTATATTTGCTTAACTTACGATCGAAGCATCATATTATATTTGTGTTTTTGGCTAAGCTCTGTTCGAAGTATATTTATAAAATTGTTAGCCAGTCAAATTGATTCATATAAATATAACACTTAAATGGTTTTTGACTAGCATTGCTTCCTTCATATCAGGCTTGTAAATTAATTAAAATTTCCTAAATTTATTCAAATCTGTACTTGAGCTTTCCCATTTAAAATTCCGAAAAAGGCGTGCCCAAAAGTTGCTTGAAACCTGATCTCAAATTCCGATTAATACCCTATCATATTTTAAGTTCTAATACCATTTTGAGGAACTGTTCATAGTTTATGGTAATAACACCCTTCATATCAGTATCGTGTGACTTGAACGAAGTTGTCAGCATCTGCATCACAATGCAACATTGTATGAAATCGTCAAATAGAATATTTCCCCTCCCGAAACGATCGAATTTATGTAGTAGGACTTTGATAAGGTGATCTGTTAGGTGATATCCAAATGTGTTGAGAGCACTTTTCAGTTCTTTCCCATCGATATAGCCTGAAGTGTCTGTATCAAATGAGCGAAAACAATATTGCCAATCGGTCATATACTTCCACAATGCTCCAAAGTCCCGAAAGAAAACTCTGCCTCGGTTCCCGTGATCGAACATGCCAATAATCAGTCGCACTGTTTCTGGATTGAAAGCCGACCAAGTGCCATTCGAAAGCGCCACCTGCAGTTCATCGGCGGAAATAAATCCGCTCTTGTTCTTATCAATGCGCTAAAATATATCCCACAGAAACTTGTCATCAGGCGTTTTGTTGGACAGGGCCATCTTGAGCTTATTCAGTTAATTGGGAACATGTTTATTGGGTGTTAAATCAAAAGTTTTACATTCTGTGGCATCAATTTCGGTCCTAGTCAAAATAACATACTTGGCCAGCTTTGATTACTTGACAAAAACAAGCCTATGGATGCCATAGTTACCTTATCCATCAGTGTTGCCAAATCATTTTTTTTCCAATCCAATCATATTGGGAGCAATATTTCAAAACAGCGGCCAGCGTGAGCTCTGGGTTATTAAAAAATAATTTGCTCTTTTCAGCTTTTTTATTTACTGAGCTATTTATTGTATTTTAGCGATAACTCGTAGTTGAATTAAAACTAAATAGTTCAGTAGTCAAATTTTCAATAAACGTACCAATCGACAATAGAGTGGAACTAACTGAACTAGAATATGATTTATATATAATTCAATTTATTTTATTGTGAGCAATATTATCAAACTTTGTGCCTTTCTGTAAACAAAACGTACCTTTCAATAGAGCTTATTAAGCAATTCAAAAGAAGATATGCAAATCAGTTGATAGCATGTAATGCACGAATTTGTGTGTTAACGAAATATGAAAGTATTGAACAGCAAAATAAAAATATCTAAATACCTTATTCAGCGGGAAAATAATGTAGACATTACAAAGTTAGGAAAACGGGTATCGCAGATTGAAGAAAAGCTGCCATGACTACGAGTCGCTAAAAATATCTCTAAATGTGATTGCCATATGAAAGCTTCTGATAAAAATAATAAATGTCACAAATAGGATAATATTCTAAGGTATTTGTAAAAATAATGTCATTAAATCAAAGCAGAAGTGTCTTCCCGATAAAAACAGCTATTTTTACTCAACAGAAGTTGGCAACACTGTTATCCTGATGGTACAACAACAAACAATTCAAAGAAATAAGCGCATCATTTTAATGAAGCTAAAAGAGCGGATACAAAATAAGATATTCAAAAGCAGAATGCTCTAAAAATAAGTATTTTACCTTATTTTTATTTCGTTTGATGTTAGTCAGCATATAGCTTAAAGCATGTTTAAGGAATAGACTATGCCTTAAGGATAATATCTGACCGAAAGCAATTAATATCAATAACCGCGGCACATTTTGGGTAACAGCTACCCCTACTGTGACGCCCGCTTATTTGTGAATACAATCATGCCTGTTCGCGATCCAATTAAATCATGCTTAAAGCTGTCTAGTAGCTAAATCAATTCGCCAACTAGACGTACGCGCAATATAACATAACGCATACGCCACGTATAACACACCAACTGGTTGTTTTTATGGCTTATTGATTGGCCACTGACCGCATGGCGAACGTGCCAGGGCATAATTCTTTTTATGGCCTCTGTCTGTTTGTTTTTGGTTTTTATTGGCATTTTTGATGTTTTGGCTGCTTTAATTGACGCCGTTTGATAACCAAGTGCTGCGTAAATATTTATTAAAACCTTGGATACCACACTTATGCATTTCTTTTATCGCCTTTCTCAGCAATTGCCCGCATGGCACACCGTCTCGTGTGCCGTTGATAGCGAGTTCCGGCTGCGGCCCTTTGACTCTGCCCCACGAGCTGCCGCTGGCAGAAAAGCCGGGCGCCGGCTATCAGGCGCGCGGTCTGCTTAATGCGACGGCGGCCAGCTTCAATCGCCACACGCTACAACCGCTGAATCGCAAGACTCTGATGCTGACGCGCCGCTGCCAGAAGCACGCGACGGCGCTTTACGATGCCACCGCCAACACAGAGACCTCCGAGGACGAGGAGTACATGCAGCACGGCAGCGAGCAGTTCGTGCTGAAGAAGCTTAAGCACAGCCGTCGCAATGGTTCCCATGAGTGCGTGGAGCGCCAGCTCCAACACCAGCATCGCCAGCAGCACTTGGAGGACGATGACGACGATGATGACTATAATGAGGAGTCGCAGCGACAGGTGCCCATTAGTCTGGTGCTCTTTATACTGATGTGCTATATATGCGTGGGTACCGTTATCTTTGCGCTGTGGGAGAACTGGTCACTGGTGGATGGCGCGTACTTCTGCTTTGTCACGCTCTCGACAATTGGCTACGGCGACTTTGTGCCGGCGCGCACCTTTAATGGACCCGAGCTGCAGCTGTACGCCTGCTGTGCCTATCTGCTGCTGGGCCTCGTCCTTGTAGCCATGTCCTTCAGCATACTGGAGACTCAGCTCATGTGGAAGTGCAAACGCATTGCCGTGCGACTGAAGCTAACCAGCGATTGATCCAGCTGCGCCATCTCCCATGTTGTGTATATGTGTATGTGTGACCAGGACACGCTCCTATTAGACATAGTTATTAGTGCTAAATGTAATCGATATATGCTAATGCATGCTTAATCAGCTGTATAATACCTAGTCTAAATACATATAAACAAACAGTAAAACAGTAAAATGTGTAAATAAAACAATCTTTTGCAAATTTATGAAATGTTTTCAATGCAAGTGCTGGCCACTTTTGACAGGCTCATCATTACCATATGACGATGATGATGATCATTATATTTGGTAATTTGATAGATTTCTGGGTACGTGAGTGGCATGCATAGATGTCCTCAATTTCTCCAGTTGACAACGAAAGTCGAGCTGTACGTGGGCGTGTGTGTGTGTGTGAAGTAGAGATTGTTTGTCAGTGCTGCCATACGAAGGGACATGACTGCTAATAGTTTATGACATATTCGTGTAGCATATTTATGGCCGCCTCGTTGCCTAGTCTCATCCTGTCTTTAACACAATTGGCAGTGAAATATGCTTTTGGGCCGACGCTGAGAGCGAATTGCGTAAGTGCCAACAGACTGGACATTGCGACAGACGTAGCAATCATATTGTGAATGCCAGCAGTGGCTAGTTTATTGTGAATTGATGCACTGGAATGATATTGGCAAGCGAATCCTTAAAGCTTCAAACCTGCAAATAGGCAAGCTAATTTTGAAGCAACTTAAATAATGAAATGTTTTCATTTTTCTTAGTATTTAAAATTAAATCAGCACAGGATACGTCAGGGAGCTAAGCCGAGTCTTTTTAGTTCTGTAAATCAGTTCGCAGTCGTGTCCATCAGTCCACACAACTAAAAAGACTATGGATTTCTTCTAAGTATTTGTTTTAAGCGTTCCTCTAAATATTTCTTATAAAGTATTTCCTCCAAGTATTTCTTATAAATATTTTATCCAATCATTTCTTCAAAGTATTTACTCTAAACATTTCTTCTAAACATTTTTTTTAATTATTTAAAGTCTTAAATATTTACTTTGAGTATTTTCAAGTCTTTACTGTTCAGCTGAACGGTCACACACTTCGCTTCACTTCGTATTCTTACACTGCACGACTGAATTCCACCAAGCCTGGCAACTGAAGAAATGCTGCAGCTGCTGCCCCTTATATAGGGCGACTAATACTCAAAGCTTCAAATGATCGATTGGAGCATTATCTGGCGCTGCAAGCATTCTAACTTGGTGCTACTCAAATATAAATACCAAATGAACTGCTACATACAAAATAGAGAATTAAAATGATATTTTGCAGGTTTGCAGACAGAGAAACAGACTCTGAGATAAGCAGTGCGACGGACAGAGAGACGGATATACATACAGACATACGAGCAACTATATATATAAACAAACACGCTGCGCTAAATCAGAATTAGATCGGATTACCTCATTACGCTGTTCAAGAACATGTATATACAAACATATATATGAGTACATATAAGTAGCTTATGAATATTAATAGCATTTATAATTATTAGATGCCATAGACAGCATTTTTTTATGCTCCATAGTTCTCGTAAGGCGTGGGACTTCTGCATAGTCTGCCTCAATTTGTTGCTATTCCACCCCATACCAATTTTTGTTTTTTTTTTACTTCAAGTTTAAAAAGTAGTCACAGCCTTCCGTTTCCAATTACATATATTCTAAGCTCTTATAAGTTTACATTAGTGAGTGTAGAGGAACTCGTCTTTGTCTTAATTTATTCCAAAAACTTAGCTTGATGGCTTCATTTTCTTTTTTATACCCTGAACCCATTGAAAATGGGAAATCAGGGTATAATGGGTTTGTTA